AGGATAATACTCTACTACTCGAATTATTCATTACATCGGATAATGTTGGTGAGCCATAAAGGCATCCTGTTCCTCCACGATGACACAAGATACACCTACGTAATGGTATATATACACGCAAAAGGAGAATTGTTCTCCTAATATTTCTGTTTCGAATGGATACCTTGGATGGATAATCTACAACAGCTATGAAAAGTATTGCCTCATACTATTATTTCCCCGTTAAGTCCCCTTTTCTTATCAGGTTTCGTATTTCACTTTCGTAGTATCAAATTTCTGTGGTTGCATACTTAACAGTATATAAGTCGTTTCTTAGACAATGGCAATTACACTAAGCCATTCTGTGCGTCTCTTTGTTCATACGTAGATGTAGATTACAAAAAATTAAAAAAAAAAAAAAAAAAGATAAGAGAAAATTGATATTTTGAGGAAAGATTTTGCGGGAAAATGGGTAAAGCAGGGGGTTAACATGTTGAATATTTATTCGCTTGTTGCACTGACTTCCGAAAAGTGTACCGAGATAAAGGAAACATATCTCGGTATTGCTCCTCGGATAAGTAGGTAAAATGAAATGGTTAAAGAAACGGTAGCTAGGGTAGTCAAGCAATACGCCAGAGATTATCTGTCAATGGATTCGAGCAGCCAATATCCGTGCTGCGCTGCAGTCCGTTTAGTTTATGTTATTTCAAAATGAAGTACAGTTCAATAAATTCAGCTTTGCCTATCAAATGCACAAATCAATGAAGAGGAACGATCGATTGTTTGCAAAGGATCAACGACGATTCCGTTTTGCAAACGCCGGGGACTGTGGCAATCGAGAAGAAAAGCAGGATTTAAAAGAGTGTGTACTTTTGCAAGATAAAATCGAGCTTTATTTCTTTTATACATTTTAATACCATATTTCAAGCATATATTTGTTCAAAGCTCTATATTTGCTAAAACATATAAAATTCTGAATTCGGTTCTATGACAACGCAAATATTTCAATATGCGCGTACAGATTCGACGTGCACGTAGCGTAAAATTACGCTGAAAATTTTAATCAAGAGTCTCCTCTCTGTGAGGCGGTACACAATGTTCTAAAGCCGATTTATGAAGATGTTTCGTAAGACGCTGTATTAAAATTACATGGAAGAACGTGTACAAAATACCAGCGAAACGTTGAATGCTGGCGTTTATACCGTACCAAGCATTTACACTGTGGCTTAAAAACTATAGAAATCACTTTTTATGTATGAGCGAGCAATACACATGTATAGATGTATATTGCAGAAGTAATGTTTAAGGAAGACTTCTGCTTGGTATTAAGAATTATTAAAGCATTGAGTCTCGTTAAGTGGCCGAGAAGTAAGAAACGACGCTTAATATAAAAAGACTAAGATGTCCTATTGATGTCATATGCTACGTCGTGCGACATACATTTCGCAGGAAACAAGAGGACTTCCGATCGTGCTCATCAGATTTTGGACATAAAACCGGAGAATGCGATAGAATAGACGTTTTGAATGAATAGAGAGACCTTATCGGATGATCTTTGAGTAATTTTAGCAATAAAACTCTTAAAAAGAGAGTTGTCTATAATATAATCACGTGTAACAAAACTGCTGTTTTTTAACTTGAAAATCTGCATACTACATAGTGATGGAATTCAGTTCGATACGTACTTATTTATAAATCTAAATTAAATCCAATACTCAGGATTCGTCTGTTAAAAAATGTTGATGAGCTTAAAAGGTCCAAGAGGAGGACACCGGAGGAAAAACGTTATGAATCACAATATCTGTTATTTTGTATCGACTAACTTTGTCCAGATACAATTTTTTTCTATCGGAGTATATTTTAAAAACACAACTGAAACCCGAAATACCATAAATGCGTCATCCAATAACCATGAAATTTTAAAATTCGAAATACGTAATAATCTAAAAGCATCGCCGTTTGCAGCAAAAATTCATGAGTCAACCAAGAGTTTGAAACATTTTCTTTGATCATCTAGTTTATTTAAAAACGTTAGAAGTGTTCCAAGTGAAAGGCAACGTTAAAAGCTCTCGAATGAAAAATTATAAATTAAAAAGCAACTGATCACAAGAAATTCTCATCGACCTCGCTAACTAACCGCACGAGCACTGAGCACTTTGTCGACACAGTTTCGCGAGCGGTTGCTCACAGCCGCCGTCACAATAAGTTAACTAAAATTCGAAGGGGGAAAACGGGTACATGGAAGTTCGAGAAGTGGTGGATATATGCGATAACTGAAATTTTCATTGGTCGAAAATTTTACGGGTTGTAGGGTTATGATGCAAGTTGTCAGAAAATGCATTCGTGCGTACACCAGCACTCGAAACGGAGAATATCAGCGTACGCGACAAGCGAGTAGAAACTGTGCCTCTAATTATCCCTTAACATCTCAAAATTAAATTCACGATGTTCCCTTGTCTTTCGTATATATCATCGTTGCATTATATTATTGCGTCCATCGCGCGTGAACAAGCTTTCACTTTTATTAATTCGAAGAAGCTTTTACTCGTAGACTGTATTTTTCAAGGCTTTGATGATTCGTAATACGGCTCACGGAACTAAAAGAAAAATATTTAAAAGGCTAGTAATTTAATTAAAACGCTAGTGATAATATATCTTATTCTATTATATGATATGTCTATTTGAAATAAGTTCGTATATTACTTATTTTAGGTACACATTCCAAAGAAATGAAGACAATTTATAATGACGTGTGGTTGTCTTGGTAATGAGATTTATGAACCAAACATGTGCATAACTGAGTTTCCGTTTATTTTGACAGTATAACTCATTTATCCTAAGATGGCTTTATTAAATTAAGTTATAACGAAGGTAATGTACTGTAATGTTGTTACAAGTGTCGGAAGTTCTATAACTCCATGACATGATATAGAGTAATCGATCTTTGTGTGTTGCTACCTTTATAGAAGTCTGATGCTATAATCGTGCTTGGTGATTAATTATAAATGTTATGATTGCTAAATTAGCTTAAGGAATTAAGATAAGCAGCAATTCTCTAAATTAAAAGAAATACAAGGAAAATCATAATACGCGTTCGATATTTTGCAAGCAATATGGAACATGTATTATCCCTTTGTTATTTTATTTTATTATATTATGAAAGTTAAATAAATAATACGACATTGGATAGGTAATTCAACGTGTGAAATATATAGGAAAATTATGATTAGAAGATTTTTACTTTCTGAGCGTTCTAATATAATAGATATCCCTGTCCTGTGTAGACCGTTAAACTTTCACTTTCTTCAGTTTCTTCACTTTCAAAACGAGTTTCATGGATTCTTTTTCGCGCCCTTGCGACACCGTATGCTAATGCTCAACGACATGAATATGCATGGAAAGCACTTAATAGCGTCGTGTCATTTAACTGCGAGACTGCAACTTCCCAAGTCCTTTCAGAATTTTTAATAACTGGCCTTTCTAATTTTAGTAATGAGAATTTAAGAGCGCACCGTCTACGTTTTTTATCAGAATCTTTTATTTTAATTATCCATTTTCGCAGCAGCATTTCAAAGGAGATGATCACTGATGGACAACGTCCCTTAATTTTAAACGAAATACAGACAAATATTTATCTTGCTTTAAAAGTTAACAGTTTGCAAATAATTATACTTACCAAAAAATACCACGATTCGTTGTACATACACATGACGGAGAACCGCTTGTCTGTGTACGAGTTCACGCTGTTGGAGCAACCGGATTATACATATTCCAAAGTTAACTCAGAGGAATGATGTCAACTTTGCGATGTAACAGCAGGGGCTCAACCACACCAAGCGTGCTATACACATGTTTTATACAAGGTATAAAAGGTGCACTGTTTCATGCATAAGTACACAGGTTTGAGGAATTGAAGCAACAAGCAGAACAGGAGAAGGGTAACGAAGCCGGCATTAATCGCCGGGTGATATCAAATAATTCAAACGAAGGAACGAAAAAAAAGTCGTATAATTATGTAAGTTGATACTTCGAACGGCTGAGAATATGTTTTTCAGCTTTATACACCGAAAGGTGTAAAGATAGTTTGAAACAGAAATGGTACGCGAGGGAATTGAACTGGATCTGTTGCTGAGTGTCAGAGTTTCGATTTAATATGAGCAGCAACTAAACTTCGACAAAGTTACTACTATAGCTAAAATGTAAAAGCTGAAGCTAGAAGTCCTAATGTTTCGGTTATATATACTCCGGAAATCGACTAAAAAGTCGTAATAAGGCGAATTAATCGAGATAACGTTATTTTGTGAAACGATATAAAATGGAAGAATTCAAGAATATCTGGGTTAAATTAAATATAAATTCCAAATGAAAATCTTAAATCATCTAGCCAAGAGTTATATCGGATGAAAAATACTGACAATTAGCTCTGTACCACAGAGAGTACTGTCCCTCGTGGTATAAAAATGCAGTATATAAAGTGGCAGACTTAATATATCATAATGTACTTCACCCTTGGGTCTTTCAACTCTGGGGAAACACGAAGAGAAAATCAAAACGTGTTCCATATTCAATCTCTTCTCAACATTATTGATGTTGATCTTCCTAGTACTTTAAAATGCAGCGTGCACTTTTATTTCGTTTCGCAACTACAGATTCACTTGTTTCTTTCACTATTCCACCAACACACGAAACAAAGTTTCGTGAATTTTCTTTGCCTCACCGACCTTGGCTCCTGGATATTCCGTTGGGTGAGCAATTTTATAGCGATGTACGCGACGCCGGATGTTCGCCATTAAGTGTTTTGCACACGTACGATCTTCGCGTGAAAGATACTCACTACGTTGTGTCACACACACGCATACACACACACACATCAGATCAGTATGACACTTTTCTACTACGAGACAAAGAAACTTGGATGCTGCGAGAGACCTACTCTCCGAGGCTGATAAAAGAATAGAGAGTTAAACAGCTAAAATAAAAGATATATAAAATGTCGAAATGAAATTAATTCAAGATTACAATTTGCCATTCGGTAAACTATCACAGAGGAGTAAAAAGTGTTTGAATATACATTTTTTTTCCAATAAATCGTCTTTCTATCAGGTTCTACTTCCACCTGTTACAAATTCTTATTGCCATATGAAAATACAGCCACTGAATTGTTATAGTTATTTGAGAATACTACTACTACTACAAAGAAAAATACGCAACAGAATAAATACAAATCTCGTGGTACTTCGATAAAACCAGAATCTACGTTGTTTCGTAATCATAAGTTTTATTATGTCTTTGCTTCTTGACACGGAGGTAGATTCAACGATTAGATCCTACTGTATTTAGGTGTTGACGTATCATTATATTGCAGCCTGATTACGTCAATCAAACGTCTCTGGGGCAGATAATCGCCATTTGTCAAGATAAGTAGTTGCGGTCTATCATGCGGTTGCGAACACTACCGCAAGCATCTTGTTCTCCTTTCCTCATTGTCTTGTGATTACGTGGTTATTCGGAATATTGTTGCCAGGAGGCAGTACACGTGAAATCCATCAAAATAATTTCTCCCCGAAGGAAATGTTTTGTTCGTTAATTGAGTCGATCCATTTCCTCGACGATGTCTTAAAAACGGCTCCTTCTTTGTTTCGTCAGAACAAAGAAGAGATTATAAGCTTCTATAAGCCACCGTGAATCGACCCCGGTATCTTTCGCTGGAATACGAATATTCACGGGGGATTATGAGAGCTGGAAAATAACTCGACTTTTTTTTATCAATGGATAAAACCTACTCCTCCCTTACTTTATGATATTTTCACAGTTTCATAAGTATCATCGTCTGTTTTTGTTGCAGGACTGTTCGAGACGGACGGCGTGTTGATTCCTGGTACAATGTGCGACCTCGAGTTTGTCAGTTCACAGTCAAAACGGCAATACGGACGCTTCTACTCGCCACGGTACCCGTCCTCCTACCCAAAGAACATCCGGTGCTCGTACCTCTTCCGAGCAAGGTAACTAAACTGACCTAGTATCAAGCTCGCAAACTGATCCCCGGCATAATCCACATATAATGCATCTTGAAGCCAATCTCCAGTCCTACCATATATCTAACGTTCTCGCGCATTTAACGGGTCCAATCCGTAATCGAGATACCAGTTAATTAACACCTGATCCATGTATCTTCGTCATCTCGCACCTTCGATCGGCACTCCACCGATTTGGTTAATTTAAGATAATTGCTAATGAACAGTTCTTTCTGAATATGTCGAGTTAGGTATGAAGGCAACTTGGAATGAAGAAATTAAATAATTATATCGGGAGAAACTTATAGAAAAATGTATACTTGCAATGTATACATAAATTCATACTATACATACTTTGGATTTCTAATCTTTCAATTTATAAAACAAATTGTGTAATCAAAGCTGTATTTATTGGAAGCTCAATATAAGGTAATAAAAATGTAAAATCGTATGGCTATATATAAAACATATACTTATGTGTATTGACTGTAACTAAATACGAAGATAAAAATGACAAGCAACGATTTTTTAGATAGAACATAGACAGATACTGTAGTATCGTAAATATAATAAATTAGTTTATCAATAATAAATGGATTAAACAGAAAACAATGGTTATTTAACATGAACTAATCGTAACAACGTATTATAATTAATTAACAACTCTCGTCAACACAGATTCGACTCTCTCTCAACAACGCAATCCGCACTCTCTGGCTTCTCAACTCATACTGCTGTTAATTCGTTTATGTCCCTTATGAACCCTTTGTTCTTTGTCTTAGCCTCGTATCTTTTGTTTAAGCACCATCATGCACATGTTCAGCAACCGCTTGTTTATAATTCGCACGACACCCCCCCCCCTGACCGGTCATTCACTCGAGCTGCCCGCGTAAAAACTTGCCGCTACCTTCCATCCACTCTCCTCGTGTGTATTTTATGTTCAACGTATATACATTCATACATTTACCTTCGCATATTACCTATCCTATATATTATATATCTGTATGCATATAATAATATCGTAGGATCTTTACTACGATTAGTTTATTCGCAATTAATGGATTAAACAGATGTTGATTAAACAGGAAACGATGGTTGTTTAACGTGAAATAATCACAATAACGTATTATAATTAAGACAACGAGATAATTAATTTGCCACTCTCGTCACCACGAATCCAATGTTCTCTCTTACTCTCTCGACAACGCTAGCAACATTATCTCGACAACGCAATTCGCACTCTCTGACTTCTCAGCTCACAATGACTGTTAATTCGTTTATCGTCCCTTAGCAACCCCCTGTCTTTTGTCTTACCCCTACCACGCACGTGCTTCGCAAACGCCTGTTTATAATTCGCCCGATACTCCCCAGGCCCCTCGTCCACGATACTACAATACCATTAATTTATTTCAATTATTTCTTCGTGTATCTTAGGTGTTGGTTACCGTAGCACATTTTTAAAAGAATGGGGGAGATTTAAATTTTATTGAGTCCAAGAATACAGTTTTAGGTACCTATTCACAATAAACGGTGAATTTTTGTAATGGTATGTTAGGCAAAGGTACCGATACGCGGCGGTACGACGTAGCCATGCTGTATTATGTGTCGGCGCTTTACATTTTTCGTTGTATGATACTTTTTCGTTGTATGATACAATTTTTGGGTTTAAGCCGCTGAGGAGCGGAGCTTTTTCTTTTTTATTTTTTTTTTTCTGTCCTGAAAACTTATTTTTAAAAGAATGACGAAAATTTGAGTGACCGTATATTACACGAAAAATATTACACCTCAATAAATAAGTTCTTTGCTACTGATTCGAACATCTGATAAATTATATTACCAATAGTTACCCGAATCGAAGAAATTCTAAATTATTCGGACCTAGTCTGTGCGCAGTTTTCCTAACATCTGCGGCCTTCAAAGACTGTTCGTAAAGGCACATGTGCACGTACACTACTTTACGTATGGCTTGCTAAACATGTACCAATCGCGCATAAACGGTCGTGAGCACTCGAAGACGTCAGCAAGCATTCGTCGTTGACCCACGGAGGAAGAGCGATAATCCCCACTGAACGCGTACAAACAACTAATTTCGTTTGAAGTACTGACACTTCTCGGCAATATTTGTAAACGTGAGCGAGCACTTGCGCATCTCCACCGACCGTTCAAATGGCTTACAAACACTTGCGAACCGTTGGTGCGGTTAGTCTTAACACATGCATGTAGAAACGTCGGTCGAGGCAGCTTGGCTTCGCCTTTTCCTATGTTTTCGATAAATATGGCGCGAATCAATAGAAAACACGTGTAACTTGACACGCGTGTATTTACGAGTTCCACCATTCAAACAATCGCATTTGTGTAACAGTAGTTTAACATTAGAAATGTTCGACACTCGACGATTAAAGCTTATTTAAAATGGAGAATGACATTTTTGTAGAATTCATGTGAAAATGTAGTTGATATTTGAGTTTCCTGAATTTAGGAGAAATCATCTACGGTATATGTAACCAAAGTACTCGAACGCTTATGGATGCTTTTTATAAATGTATTACTTATATTTATATTACGAGAAATTTTGGGTAGAGTCATTTCAATCGTAAAATTGACGAAACGTAAAAGTTTATAGGTACAACGTATGTCTGAACGGGCGAATTGATAGAAACCTGACAAGATAAGGCCAGAAACCTGAGTCAGTGTCATACGAAGTATGCTTTGGCTTGGGTTCAGTTTCCATTGGAAAAAGGTAGAAGAAACCGTAGTGAACGTGAACGACCCGGCTGCATCAATCGATGTCGCGACTTGCTACTTCGATTTAAGACCTTGTCACATCGCTGCTACACTAGAATCGAATTAGCACCTTCGACCGTTACCGAACGTGCAGTATTTTAAACCAACCTTGTTTACAGCCATCTATCGAAGAGTTGCTCTTGTCTGATTCAAATGACACGTAGAATGCATGTATGTTGTGTGTGTACGTGCGTTACTTATGTTGATTTCTCCTGCGAATACGATTTCTATTTGTTCTAAGTTTTGAATCGTTCGCATTCCTGACTACTATTGAAATATGGGCACGTTTATATGTTTACATTACATAGCTAAAGATAGTATGAAAAATTACTTTATTCATTAATTACTTAATTCATTACTTAATTACTTAATTCATTACCAAGGGCACATTTAAAAATATTTACTTAAAGAATGTTCGTCTGATTTCAGATTAAAGGAGAGGATACGTTTATTTTTCGAAGAAATTTCTTTACAAAAAGGAGATTTGAGGTAAGCTTTCAAAAAAAGAATTAAAAAAAATTGCGAAATTATTTTTTGTACCAATTAGATATATCGTACCACAAAAGAGAAATCAATTACGTTTAAAATTATTACATTACTATTCTTCAATGAATAAGTTCGGTAACTTGATCATAACTGAAATTATTCAGGTTGGCGAAATACAGTACGAATTCAATTTGAAATTTCAGAAACGTGTAGCGCTTGCTAGCCAACGTTGGCAAACCAAATAGCAAGGCTTGAAGTTTAATAATCCTAATTCTGTGAATCTAAAATCTCGATTCGCGTTTGGTTTATAGTTTATTTGATTATATTTTCATGCGCATGATTTATACAACCAGAACCATTCTTAGCATTGAACGAGATAACTCGTAAAACGCGACAAAAAGTTTTCATTCTTTCGGTCGAAAAAATTGTTCACTAAGCAAAATAAAAAAGAATACAGTAAAATATAAGATCAAAAGTAATTATTTAAATAATAACAAAAAATTAATTCGTCCCCATTTAGAGTAAGAGAGATGGAAAGGATCGCTTCGTCATTTTAAGTGCCATCAAACCCCATCAAATGTAATTAGCCTCTGGATCCTTTAAAAAAAATCTTAGAAGTAAATCGCTACGGTTTCAGAAAAAGGCAGCCTCTAACAGATTAATAAATAAATACGTAACTTATCCTGGATAATAATTCATCAAAGCATACCCGTACAGGATCAGACATAAATCGTACATTTGCTAAATAACAGCGGTTCTGACGCAACTGCGCTTCAAACACATCGTATCCTCCACCCCGTTCGTGACTCTTGATTCACTCCGCTGAATTATCTACAAACGTGCAATTTGTTGCGCCAGCAGTGGTAGCGAATGCTTTTGCGAATAAATGCATCTGCAATCATATTCTGAAAGAAATATAAGCTGCCGTTCCACCCACGTGACTGTTCGCCGATAAGTTAAAAATCGTGTTGCCGGTCGACTAGCAACTGGTCGAATTACGTACGTTGCTTCTGGCCGCGGCGGTAAAACTTGAAAATTCACTATCGCATCAATCATCTACGAATTTTTCTTCGCAACCGTGTAGCTGAAAATCGATACGACATGTATTGTTCGACTGTATTCCCGGGCAGACGCATCTCTGGTGCGACTCGTCAACGAGAGTCGTAAATTCTCGCCTCGATTAGCATCGACGCGACGAATCAACCGAATTCCCTACCTCGATTAGGATGATAGGGATGTTTAGGTATAATCTGACACGGTTTCAAGGTTTAAATATAACTATTTATTATTTCATATTTCATCTTCGAAGGCCGAGTGTGCGAATGAATGTAAAGTGTACGCGAAACGATGCTGTTTTCCTGTGTTTCCTAAGCGGAGAGCTGAGTGCAAGTGAAGTATCGGTGATGCATGTGGAAAAGATGAAAACTTGAGATGAGCGTGCGTAGAACGTGGGACAAGCTGTTTCGTCAGTTGTAATTTTCGCTAAGAAAGTTAGGGCAGCGGGCATCGTTGCTAATTGGTAGGAAAAACTGGTAGACAAGATGAGAACTGACTGCCTCCAGACTGATGGTCACTCGCAGATGCGAAAGTACGCTCGGGGACATCCCGTGTGTCCCAACATTTAACCGCTAATACGCCCAAGGAGCGCCTCAACTTAAGGAATACATATGCAAGTAAAAATAAGGAACTCGAGGGCAAACGCTAAACCTTATGGCAGGCAGATGTGATCAGTGGAAATAAGGATTAATTTTCGACGCGGCACTATCGACTTCTTGGGGATTATTGCTGGTCCGAGTGAATATGTTAAGGAAGACGTAGACAGAGAAATAAAACTGGAAAAAGGTGTATGGCAGCTTAAGAATATTACAAAGTGCTATTCTCGAAAGGTTGTTGTGGATGAAGAAATAGACGAGTTTGTAATGACTGGATCGCGGTACGGAACACGTATAATAAAAGAAATTTGCCTCGCTGTTGTGGCGCGATCGAACCACGCGGGTTTCTTCCTCTTCGAACTTCTCGCTAATATGCGATTATTAACGTAACTGGCTAACATGACAAAGTGATATTTGCTGGAATTTTTGAGCGAGTAGATTTACCGAATCCAATGACGAGCTAAACTAGAAATACAAAACGAGAATATTGTACAGTGACATTTTCTAACGAAACGTTTCTTTATCAGGTTCTACTTGATCGATCTTGAATTTCATAGTAACCAAATTTTTTAAGCCACATGGTGGTACTATACTTGAACGACGTCAGTATACTTTAACGCTTGGACTTAATTAACACGTTAACTGCAGATCGCGTGACCTCTCATTGTAACTGAAATTTCTTGTGGCTGACTAATGTCCTGACTCAAAAGTAGCTGCATTTGATCACATGTTACGAATTCGATCAAATTACGTACGAAGATCGTAACTGTTTTGTTCCTTTGAACGGAACACTCACATCGCAGCGATAAATTTTCGAGTATGTCACGCGTTAGAGATTGGAATTGAATTTGACAAGTTTTAAAAGAGATGTTAGTAGAAAGGAAAAGGGATGACAATAAGAAGAGAGGATTGTAGACTTAGCAGAGAGGATTAAAGTCGCGAATTCCGTAAGTATCAGTATATCTTGTGACTTACAGTGAGAGAGGAACTATTAAACCGAGCTATGTATACTTAGTCGAACATGGACGATTTATAGCCGCAAGAAACTGAACTCTGCAAATGTGTCAAAAGACACGTCTAACCGAATGCACGGGGATTCGACGACGAATCCTCACACGTCATGGAGTTTGTGGAATTTTCTTCGAGTTGAAATTTGATCAACCTTAATAAAGTTGATTCGATTAACTTGGTTGATATTGCGTTTTAAAATGAAAACGCGACGGTCACAATTTCGTTGCGTAAAGTTTTTGAAACAGGGAGATAATAAAATTAGAATTTACTATTTACACGTGGATATGTATTATTGTATTTATAAATTACAAATTACTATTTACAAATTACAGATTACTGTACTAATTGGTCTACAAATGATAGATTAATATTTACATATTACCATGTTATTGTATTTACAAACGTTCGACTGGAATATTATATCGATCCTTAAAAATTATAGCAGCATGGGAAATCAGAGAGTAGTTACGTTTCAAGTGCTTTACGTGAATTTGTCGGCATAGAAAATGACAGCAGGTCAGAATATACGCGTTAGGTTGGCTCGTGTGAAATTTCATTCTGCCAAAGCTTCAAATTAATAACCCGTGCACGATACCGAACCTTAAATTTTCGATAAGTAATTCCGATATTCAACTGTTAGAAAAAAGAAGCTAAGAAAAGAGAGAAATTATCGGGATATTTGTAAGTGATTTTTGTCATAAGTTCGAATTTAGAAAATGTATCGCAAACATGGCTTAAAATATAAATGTAAGGTTTGAACAACGTAAATGAAGGGTTATAGTTTTCTAAATCAATGCCTTATGAACGTTATTGCGTGTCTACGTATATTTTATAACTTTCAAATGATTTAATTTATTATCAAATTTATGATAATTCAACGCGAAATAATTTGCTTCTGATATCTCGCAGGAAGCGATCGGAAAAGTTTTGAGCGCTTTCAATCTTGACATAATGAATTTGTTAATTTCGATGATCACTTTGTTTGAGCTATTAATAAAGGTAATTACATATTATTACCGTGAAAGGATTATTGAACCGAGTAATTTTCATATATGTATGTATTTTGTTATTAATCGTAAAATATCTTCATTAGTCGAATGTTAACTGTTACGTGAAACGAAGGTCTGCTTTGGTTTTTGCATTATTGAAGATAATCAAATTCATTGCACCCCGATTAAATATTAATGCCAATAATTCGTGCCTGTTTACTCGCGTGTTTGTGTGCTGTTTTCGTTGTTTTCGATGTTTCCATTTATATCCCTCTTGAAATTTCCATTTTTGGAATATAGGACGATTCTTCCCTCTCTTTAATTTTTTAAATTTCACCATTTTTTCTTTTTTTTTTTTAAAGATATTTCATAAATTTCTGACAATCCAATTTTTCAAATTTCTGACTATACCAAGTAAATAATTATTCTTTGAAAGTCATAATTGCTCTTGCAAATTTTATTTTTCCATCAATGTTGATGCTTAATTTGTTTGATCAATGTTTGATTTGTTAATTAAAGTTAGTCTCGCATATTCATGAATGATCGAAGTTATATCGAATTATCGTTCCAGGAAGATAATGAAGGACTAGACGATATCTAAATTTTCTAACTATCGAAGAATCGAACGACTTAATTCTGTATAATTTGTAACTTGAAGTTTATATTACGCATATATCTATAACTTTAAAATCTTATTTAGTATGTTTATGTATATTATCTTTCTATACCATCACGCGATCGAATTGCCATCGAATTGCTATCTATCCACAGTAGTTATTAATTCTTAATACTACCATCAAAATGCAAATCTGTGACCAAGCATAATCCCCTTTTTTCCAACGAAGAAAGAAATACTAGATATCGCTTTATCCTCTGACGCTATAATTACGAAGCCAGATGCGATATTCATGAAGATTTCATATGTGCCGCTTTGCAGAAGTATTTGATAAATTTTTTAAAGCGTCCATTCCTGCATGAAGCCACGCTGTCGCGCTTCTATTACGCTAATTGTAAATTACGACGCCTGTCGGTTATTAACGTTTACGAGTTAACGAGGCACGATAACGAGCGGCGGCACAAGATCGTGAACGTTCGGACCGAACTTTTCTATTTAAAAGTTTTCCCCGGCAACATTGTATTCGGTCGTAGTTCGATGGTATGTCAAACTTCGTAACAGGGGAGAGGGATACGACTTTAGGTGGATTAAACACGCAATGGAGATTTCCGTGCGCGATAAACTTCCCTGGATTAATATTTTTTTTCGTTCGATCGTTTGTTTAAACTTTAATAGGATCTAAACAAGAGGAAAGTAAAAAGCCGTGAAGCTAAGTAAAACCATGACGCACGACCA